TTTTCGGGCCGGGCCGGATGAACAGGCCTATATATAATATGTCTATTTTGAACCGCATGTATACTCTTACGTCTATTTTTAACATATAATACTTTGTGACTATTTACATGTCTCTTATGTTGTCCCTTATATTTATCTAAACTATATATACGTTCGATTCTTTGCTATTTTTTTTCTTACATATTCTTTAAATATTTCTTTTACTTTCGCTTGTATTTCACCTATTAATTGTATTGTGTTTTTATGTTTTTTTATCATATTTATCATCTGCTTGTGTAAGAGTGACTTATATTTTGTCTTTTATTTCCTTTATATTTTTCTTTTATTATTTATACTGTTGAGTTGATATGCTTTATCATATATTTTAGTATTTGACAACTTTTGAATCATGTAATTATATCATATATCATGATTTGTATGTTATATGTTTGTTATATTTTACTAATTCTGTGTTATTGATTATGTTTTAACACTGTGATGTGTTGTCTTATGATACTATATAAATAATATCATGTTGATATTATATTTTTCTATGATTATATATTTCTTGTTGACTTCTTTGCTATTATGCTATGTTTGACTGATACTTATATTTTTGTTTGTGACTAGATGTTGTATTATTTTATAATTTAATATGTATCAATTATTTTATTTACTATATACCTTTTTATTTATACATGTATGAAGGTATGCATTATAATCTTACTTCTAGAATGTGAGGGTGGACCCCTGCATTTTGAACTTGAGACGCGGGTCTCACCCTTGCGTTTTAAATTTGTAACCCGGGTGTGACCTCGGCGTTGTGGTTTTTTGCGACGCGGGTCTGACCTTGGCGTTTTGACTTGAGACGCAGATGTGGCTTTCATGTATTTTTGACTAAGTCTTTGAGACTTGTCTTTAGCTCATTTGTTTCAAATCTCGGCTCATATTCATTAAGCTGATGGGCCTGCAAACATGCATAGGATTTTTGGCAAACCCTCAGCCATCAACGGATTTGATAAACCTTTACCGATTACCGTTTGAGTCGGGCTAGCATGTGGATTATTTGAATCCGTTTTACATATAACGTTGTGCTAAGAGAATGAACCCTCTTAGACTTGATGCTATGATTTTGAATACATAGACTTTGTCATTTTCACGGGAAAAGACTAACTGATAACGCGTGTTAGGCGTAGATTTATCTCTAATTACGGATCGAGATAAAGTCCCTCATGCGTAAAAGTCATGGATTTTGGTGTTACGATGTTGAATACGTAGACTTGGTCATTTTTGCGGGAACGAACCACCCGGCAGCATGTTTTAGATGCAGACTTATCTCTAATTAGGAATCAAAATAATGTCTCCTATGCGTAAAAGGCATGGATTTTGGTGCTACGATGTTGAATACGTAGACTTGGTGATTTTTATGGGAACGAACCACCCGCCAGCATGTGTTAGATGCGCAGGCTTATCTCTGTTTAGGGGTCGAGATAAATTCTCTCATGCGTATAAGGCATAGATTCTTAGTGCTACGATGTTGAATACGTAGACTTTTGCCGCTGTTTCTTCCTGTGTTACTTGAAACACTAAAAAAAGTTAGAAGTGTCAGAGGTGTAGTATTAACTTGATATGAATTTTCACTTAGAGTGAAATTCAGAAATTTTCTTCATTATCACTAGGATAATTCCAGAAAATCTTTAATCCACTGGGGATTTTATAATAAAAACTTACTTTTCTTGTTGAAAAAGGATTAACAAGTTCATTGGGGGTTTGACTGTTAGAGGTGTTATGTTAACCTAATAGTATTTTATGGGCCTATCGCTCTATTGAAGAGAATCGATAAACTGATTTGATCATCAGATGTGTGATGTTAACTTGACGGGTTTGTGGACCTATCGCTCTATTGGAGAGAGTCGATAAGTTAATTTTGTCAGAGGTGTGATATTAACATGACAGGAATTTGTTACGATCGGAGCAACTTTGAGGACCTATCGTTCTTTTAGAGAGAGTCGATAAGTTAATTTTGTCAGAGGTGTGATATTAACATGATAGGAATTTATTGCGATCGGAGCAACTTTGAGGATCTATCACTCTATTGGAGAGAGTCGATAAGCTGATTGTTAGAGGTGTGATGTTAACGTGACAGGAGTTTGCTCTTGTGATTTGAACAAGATTTTCAAGATTTAACGTCTTGCTGGGAAAGATTACAATTTGAGCAATTTTAAGGACTTATCATCATGTTGATAATGATTGATAAGTTTATTGTCAGAGTTGTATAGTTAACGTGACAAATTGGGAGTGATGCAAACTGAATTCATACTCTGTGGGGGTGATGATCATCAGAAGTATAATGTCAACTCAACGATGTGAAAGATTCGTTACTCTTAATCTAGTGGATTCCCAGTAACCAACCCTCAGTCTTGATTAAGACTTAGCAGGGGAAGAAAAAAGGGGTAAACATGACATATCACCTTGTGGGCTACTATCCATCAAGTCGGAATAGAGGCACGTCAAATGGCAGGCCGCTATGTGAAGAGTTTGGCTATCAGAGGTAACTGTTAACGTGATAGTTTTGGTAGATCCGCCATCCTACTGAAGAGGATTGGTAAGTTGATAGACTATCAGATGTAACTGTTAACGTGATAGTTTTGTAGACCCACCATCCTATTCAAGAGGATTGATAAGTTGATGGACTATCAGAGGTAACTATTAACGTGATAGTTTTATGGACCCGCCATCCTATTGAAGAGGATTGACAAGTTGATGGACTATCAGAGGTAAATATTAACGTGATAGTTTTGTGGACCCACCATCCTATTAAAAAGGATTGATAAATTAATAAACTATCAGAGGTAACTATTAACGCGATAGTTTTATGGACCCGCTATCCTATTAAAGAGGATTGACAAGTTGATGGACTATCAGAGGTAACTATTAATGTGATAGTTTTATGGACCTGTCATCCTGCTTGAAGAGGATTTGTGAGAAAATTTGGAGGAAAACAGACTTTCAGATGTGATCATTAACGTGATAGTTTTGATGGACCCGCCATCCTGCTTGAAGATGATTGACAAGTTGATGGACTATCAGAGGTAAACGTGATAATTTCATGAACCCGTCATCCTGTTTGAAGAGGATTAGTGGGGGAATTTAGAGAAAAACAGACTATCAGAGGTGATCATTAACGTGATAGTTTTGGTGGATCCTCCCGAGGAACTTCGCGTGGGCACATTAATGTTAACTCTTTTTCTGTAACATGTTAACTCTTTTCTGTAAAATGTTAAGTCTTTTCTGTAACATGCTAACTCTTACAGCTAACATGTTAGTTGTAAGAGGTAACATGTTAGCTGTAAGAATTCACATGTTATCTGTAAGAGTTAACATGTTACAGAAAAGCATTAACATCCACTGACATGAGAAAGAGAATGGTAAATTCAAAATTTAAGTCAGCTGATATGTCTAATCATAAGCTGACATGTCTAATCAACTGTTGGCATGAGCTACAATCATGATGGAGAAATGGAGGGGCTTGGACACATTTTTTTCAAAAAAAATGGGCTAAAGAATATTAAAAAAATAAAAGGGGCCGGGGCACATTGAAAATATAAATTCGGGGTCTCAAAGCAATTTTTCCTTAAATTAAACAATATGCCCGAATGTGTTGAATGTATTTGCAAATAATTTATCACGGACCGAATATATAACCGAATTGAATTAGAACATCACATGGCATTGAATTGAAATAATAAAAATACCAAATTAGCTCTACCCATCTAATCGCAACTATCTAAGTCATGGGAAAAAATTATCAAAAAAAAGTCATGAAAAACATAAAATTATGAAATTAAACAAAGATAAACACAAAGAAGACCACAATTTTGACAAAACTACCCTTCCACAATTAAACTCTTTTAATTATTTTCAATTTTCTCCAACAATTTTGTACACCAAACTCCTCACACCTTTCACCACCGATACTGAGCCCGCCCGTTCCTCGGCGAACTGACACGTGTCCTTTTTGCCGAATCGGACGGCCCCGAGAACCCGTCGTTCCTGCCATACTCCATCCCCATCCCCATCCCGCTCACCAAATCATCGAACATCTCTTGAATCTCCTCAAAACTCTTCACAGGCTGCAGTTTCACAAAATAAAACAAAAAAAATACAAATTTACAAAAATAAAAAATAAAAAAAAAGCATCTACACGAATCCCAGGGGTAATTTCGTAATCTTGACCTCGGATTTGACCCTTTCCACTGTTGACATGAAATCCTTCATAAACTCCCCCATATCCTGCCCGTCCAATAGAACAACGAGAAAATGAATGGCCAAGATCGCTTACCTCGAAAATATCTGGAATCTAAAATTACCAAAATACACGAACCTCTTCGTCGTCATCTAGCGGATCATAGAGCCCCGCATCGTACATTGCTCGCTTCCCCTCGTCGGAGAGAACTGCAGGAACACCACACCGCCGTCAACCGTCAACGTCCGTCAGAAACCCAAACGAAAAAAACCGCTACCGTTAAACTTACCGGAATAAGCTTCTTGGATCAGCTGGAACCTCCGCTTGGCTTCCCCTGCGGCCGACGGATTCTTCGCCCACCTGTCCGGGTGCCATTTCTAGTACCCGAAAAAAACCCAAAACAATCTTAAATTTGCAAAACTAGGGGGGGAAAATAAAAATTTTAAATAAGAGGTGGGTTTCAATGAAAATACCAAAGCGAGCTTGCGGTAAGCTGATTTGACCTCGGAAGCGGATGCGTCCTGTTGGATTCCGAGAAGAGAGTAGAAGCAAGCTTCGTCGGACCCAGTCCCCTTAACGTCCATCGCCGGACCCGCGATGGGGGGGTTGGTGGGCGGATGGGATTTATAGAACAGAGATGGGCGTTTCCGCAAATAGTCAGGGTTTTCTAATTATTTTGCAGAAAATATCTTCTCCCGGGGGTTTGCCAAGTCGCGAGTTTAAGGACCCAATGAAGGTTCGAGAGAGATGCTCGCTCGTAGATATTTTAAGGTTGCGGTATGAAACTGGGATGGGAAGTGGACTAATTTACGGGAATGCTATGGAATTGGGAACGTGGTTTGTCACGCGGTTCTGTGGGTGTAAGTGGGTCGGGTATTGTTTGACCCGGAATCGAATTGCTCGCCATCGGACCATCGGATCGGCTGGAGAGTATGGGTGGTGATTAGGAGTACCTCAGGATCCTAACCAGGGGTGCTAAACCATATCCGTATCCGATGAAATATCTGTAACCGTATCCGTTAGGATACGAATATGGTTACTCAAATCTATAACCGATAGGATATGCTTTTATAGTGAAATATTTGTATTCGTATCCGAAATATCCGAATACATATTAGTCATATTCTTACGATAATTTTGATTCTTAGATTATGGATTTGTGGTTAATTTTGATGATCAAGATGTCTAATCTTAACTTTTTAGTTATAATAGACATATTAACGAACTCTTTTGTATCACATGAACTATGTTTTTCTCAATACTATCTAGTTTTCTCATATCTGTTTTGTATCCGTATGCATATCTGCATGTATATTCGTAACCGTATCCGATTTTAGCGGAGATGGTTATAAATTTTTCTTACCGATGTATATCCGTATCTGTATCCGTATTCGAGATGGGTAAATGGATATAGATATGGTAAGCATCATATCCGAGCCGTATCCGGACCGAATGCACCCCTAATCCTAACGATCAAAATAAGAGCGGCGCGTTGCCGCTGTATTAGTATGTAAATTTAAAAATAATAATTATTTAATCATTTTGATTTAAAGCTGCATTGTATGTTAAATACTCAGATCGAACAAAAGAGCAAGTTGCGATAAAAATATAGTAACTCGCACTATATAATAAATAGTTAAATATAGATAATAGATTTAAATTATTTTTAAATACACTGCATTCATATATCAAACAACATTAAAATATAATAAAAAACAACATTAAAATATAACAAATCACTCTGTATATCAAAGTAATAAAATGTAAATTAGCTTAAAATTAATTCAATGGCGTATCTACTACTTTTCACCTAGGGCTGCTTGTTTGCCTATAAAAAGTGGGAAATCAAAGAATAGGAAAACTTGTATTATGGTTGTTTGGTTGGCTAAAAAAAGAAGGAAATCAAAGAATAGGAGATGAGGTGAGATGAGTTGTCACCATATTATTGGATGATATAAGTGATTTTTTAAGAAAACTTTTTTGGAGGTTGTTTGGTTGGTTAAAAAAAAGGAAATGTATTATAAGAAACATATTTCCTATAATAGATTCTTTTCTTGTGTTTGGTTCACTCTTAAAAATAATAAAATAGATGAGATGAGATGAGTTGTCATTATATTATTGGATGACGTGACTCACACTTAAGGAAATTAATTTTCTTGCTTTTTTTTAAGAAAATGGGTGAAAATAAAATGTTAATGAGATGAGATGAGTTGTCACCATATTATTGGATGATATGAGTGATTTTTAAAGATGAGATAAGATGAGTTGGATGATGTGACACATTTTTTGTGTTTGGTTTATTTTTAAAAGTAAGAAAGGAGATGAGATATGATGAGTTGGTGAATAAAAATAATATTTTATTTATAAAAGTGTACAGATTTCCTTTTATTGGGGTGAGTTTTAGGGGCTGTTCGTTTGGCCAAAAAAACCTGGAAATCAAAAAATAGGAAACCTATTTCCTATTATAATGGTTTTGAAGTTGTTTGGTTGGCTTAAAAAAGAAGAAAATTATAGAATAGGAGATGAGATGAGATGAGTTGTCACCTTATTATTGGATGATGTGAGTGATTTTTAAAAAAAAACTTGTTTTGAGGTTGTTTGGTTGGTTAAAAAAATAAGGAAATGAATTGGAGGTATATTATTGGATGATGTTTTGAGGTTGTTTGTGTTTGGTTCGTTTTTAAAAATAAGAAAATAGATGAGATGAGATGAGTTGGAGGTATATTATTGGATGATGTGACACGTACTTAAGGAAATTTATTTCTTGTTTTTTTTTGAGGAAATGGATGGAAGGGAATGTTTAATGAGATGAGATGAGTTGTCACAATATTATTGGATGATGTGTGTGATTTTTAAAAATGAGATAAAATGAGATGTGATGAGTTGGATGATGTGACACATTTCTTGTGTTTGGTTTATTTTTAAAGTTAAGAAAGGAGATGAAATGAGATGAGTTGGAGGATAAAAATAATATTTTATTAGATGTTGTGGGTGAGTTTTAGGGATGGAAATAGATAAAAATATTATTTTATTAATTTCCTTGTACCGATTTCCTTTTCTTGGTTTTTAGGAAACCAACCAAACAGCCCCTTAGGGATGAAAATGGATAAAAATAATATTTTAATTAAAAAAGTACAAAGATTTCTTTTTCTTAGTTTTTAGGAAACCAACCAAATAGCCCCAGGCAAAACCCACAATTACTATTCACACTACAGTGTACTTCAGAATATTATAATATTGTACTTATTTTTCACCATTGAGTAAAATTTTCTGCC